CATTGGAGTTACGCATTTCATAGCTCCATCTCGCTCCCCTGACTGGAATAATGCGTGCTGTGGTGGTCTGCATGGTGCTGGTGGCGCTGGCGAGCCTGTGGGCGGTGCCTGCTGCGGCGGTGGCGTACGAGGCAAAGGTGTCTCGCGGCGTGTTCTCGGTGACGGCAGACGGAGCCGAGGTGGTCCCCGCGACGGCTGCAGGGAGTGCTGGCCTGCGCGGCGGCATGCAGTTTACGCTGCGGTCGACGGCTGTGACGGTGACCGGGGCCGAGGCCACGTACGCGGCCATGGCTGCGGCGGTGCCGGCAGCAACGCTGAGCGGGCTGACGGCGGCATCGTGTGCCGAGGTCATCCAGTTCCTGCCCTCGCTCTTCCTCTGCCGCTACGCCGACAACCTGCCGGCTGGTCGCTTTGTCCTGGGCTCGACCTCGGATGGATTTTCCTGCGAGGCCCTGCTCTCGGCGCCTGTCGAGAGCCTGGCCTGCAACCACAGCTCGGACACGAGCCGGAGCGTGAGTATGGTGCTGACGGCGGCGGATGCCGGTGTCGGGCAAGCGGCGTTTAGCCTCGACGCGGCGACGGCCGGCGCGCACGAGACCTCGTTTGTTGCGCTCGCCGGCGTCAAGGTCAAGGCCGGCGCTGTTGTATCGAGTGAGGCTACGGCCATTCGCAAGGCCAACGAGGACCGCCGCGACGAATCACGCCTCGCGGTTGTCTTCCTCTACCTCTTCATTGCCGCCGCCATGACGGTCCTCGCCGTTCTCTGCGCCGTCTGGCAGGGCTGGCTCTACCCGGTCTTCCCTGCCCACGCCGAGTTCTGGTGGTTTGCGATTTTCTTCACCCTCATCCACCTCGTCTCGTGGGTGGGCGGCCTCGCCGGCTGGATTTGCATCCTCTCGCTTGTTGGCCTCTACATCCTGCTCATGCCGGTTGTCTACCTCTGCATCCGCTGGCAGCACCGGCGGCTGCTCCGGCGCGCCGGCGTCACCGAGTACGAGCTCATCCGCAAGTACGGCGAGCAGGAGGAGTCCGAGACCGACGATGATGACTACGACTACGACGAGTCATCGTCCCAGACCGAGGCGGCAACTGCAAGTGCAACTGCAAGTGCAAGTGGAACTGCAACTGAGACCGAGGCCGAGACCGAGACCGAGACCGAGACGACCAACGCCACCGGCCGCGGAGCCGGCTCGGCGACGCCAGCGGAGCGCCTCGGCGAACCGCGGGCTGTCGGCTTTACTCAGCAGCCGGCCAAGCTCGGGCGGGCGCAGGGCTGGTGGCTCCTTTCGGCGACGCTCGCGTTTTCCTCTGCGGCGTCATGTGTGTCATCATCTTCTTCACCTGGTCGATCGACGACTACTACGTGTGGGACCGGCACGCATCGGCGCGGGTGGTTGAGTTTCAGCCCAAGTTGGTGGCCAAGACCATCGGGGTTATCTACGCGTACGACACGTTTGCGACGGTGATGCGGATGGACTGGCTGCTGCAGGCGCAGACCAAGGCGTGTGGCGTGCTCTTCAAGCGGACGCTCAGCTCAGACTCGGAGAAGAAGAAGAAAATCCAGGACGCGTTCATCGACAAGTACTCGATCGACATGTCGATTTTTGATCGGCCGTCGTATACCCAGTACTCTTCGGTCAACGACTGGTTCACCCGGTCGCTGGCTGCCGGCGCTCGGCCGGTTGTTGGCTCGCCCGGCGACGACATTGTCGCGTCGTCCGCTGATTGCCGCGCCGTGGTCTACGAGAGCGTGCCGGAGAACCTCAAGATCTGGCTTAAGGGTGAGGAGTTTACGGCAAAGGAGTTGCTGCACTACACGTCGGCGTCGCAGGACTTTGCCGGCGGGCCCATCGCCATCCTCCGCCTCGCGCCGGCCGACTACCACCGGACCCACGCCCCGATCTCAGGCACCATTACCAACCAGTACGCCGTCAAGTCGACGATTTACAGCGTCGGCGCCGACGCCATGCGCTCCAACAACGGCGCCATCTACAACACCCGCACTATCTCCATCATCGACTCGGGTCGCCCCGGCCGCAAGGTCGGCTTTGTGGCTATTGGCGCCACCTGCGTCGGCTCGGTCGTCATGCTCAAGGGCACCGGCGCGACGGTGACCAAGGGCGAGGACTTTTCCTACTTTCAGTTTGGCGGCTCGACCGTCGTCCTCACCTTCCCGCCCAACTCGATTGCCTTTGACGCCGACCTGCTCTACAACTCGCGCAACGGCGTCGAGACGCTCATCACCATGGGCTCGCGCCTTGGGACGTGGACCAACTAGTCGTTCGTCGCGCATCACTGCTTAAAGTTGATCGAGTAGCCGCCCGTCGCAGGATCCTGCACCATCTGAAAGTTGTCAAGCGACATGCCAAACTTGCCGAGGATGGTGTTGCCCAGGTCCTTGAGCTTGCCCAGCGCCTCGGCCTTCTGGCGCTCCTCCTGCTCGGCCACAAGCGGCGGCAGACTGCGGAGCTTGGCCACCGCAGTCGGATTCTTGGGCTGCCGCTTGGCGACCTCGGTCCAGTCGTCGAGCGCTCCACGCAGCCTGTCGAGCGCCTCGCGGCACTTGGCCCGCCGCACGTATGCCTTGACGTACTCGGGATCGATCTTGAGTGCTGAGCTGCAGTCAGCCACGGCCTCCTCGTGGCGCTCCTGCAAGAGGTAGCACGCTGCGCGGTTGGAAAAGTACACCGCAGTCGCGGCCGAGCCCGGAGGCGCCGCCGCAACCGCCTTGGTGTACCGATCAACCGCGTCGTCGAGCGCGCCAGCGCGGAACAGCTCGTTGCCCTCTTCTTTTAGCGCCAGCGCACGCTCCTCGGCCATCCGCGCTGCCTCGGGTGTCCAAACCTCCTCCACCTCGGCATTCGATCCCGCATCGCTATCATCGTTGTCAGCAAACGGATCTGGGCCGGACGGAGGCGGTGCAGGAGTGGTAGGGGATCCAGACGCAGGTGCAGCAGCGGTGGGTTCAGCCCCATCGGCCACAGCGTTCTCCGCATCTGCGCCACTGGCCAGTGTCCCCACCGTAGCGGCATCAGCCTCAGCATCCGTCGCGGAGACATCGGCCTCCAACTCGGTCGTAGCGGCATCGCAACAAGCATCCTCGGCCTCGGCCGCCTCGGCGGCATCGACCACAGCATCCTCGGCCTCGGCCGCCTCGGCGGCATCGACCACAGCATCCTCGACCTCAGCGCCATCGACCACAGCATCCTCGACCTCAGCCCCATCGACCACAGCATCCTCGACCTCGGCCCCATCGACCACAGCATTCTCGACCTCGGCGCCATCGACCACAGCATCCTCCACCTGGTCCGCCTCGTCTTCGTGAAGCTCGACGGCGTCATAGAAGACGTCATCGCCAGACGACTCCCCGTCAGACGACGACGGAAGGAGCTCAAACACGCCCTCGCGCTCCTTGTCCATACTCCCCCTTGTACGTATCAGACAAGTGTGACGGGGAAAATGGTGTGGGTCTGTGTCTGTATCGGCATCCGGAAGGGGGGGGGGGCCCGTTGCTGACGTCGACGACAGGGCGATGGGGCCGAGGGGAGCACGGGTGGGAGGGGAGGGGCAAGGGGGAGAGTGAGGGGGCAAGACTCAACGCAGGCAGTGGATGGCGGGCGGAAGAGGCAAGAGCACAGCAGGAACAGTGGTGGCGGGAGCATGGTCAAGGTGGTGCAGCTTGCTGTCGCCATCTACGTGGCTTATCTCGTCTACGGTGTGGCCCAGGAGCGGATCTACAAGACGCCGCGCGGCGACGATGGCGCCCGCTTCTCATACACCCTCTTTGTCGTCCTTGTCCAGTGCATCTTCAACGCATGCGTGGCGGCTGTGAGTACGTGGCTGCGGGGTGGGATGGGGAGGGGGGATCGGGAGGGGCAGTCGGCGAGGAGGTGGGGGGGGTGGGGGGGCGTTGGTGACGGGCAGGCGACTCAACTCACACGCCTCAACGGGTTGAATGCTCGGCTCGGGCACTGGGCGGCAGTGATGTGGTGGACGGATACGCCGGCAAACACGACGCCGCTGTACAAGTATGCGGCAATCGGCTTTACCTACATCGGGGCCATGTTCTGCTCCATCAACTCGCTCGTCTACGTCGACATGGTGACCCAGGTCGTGGCCAAGTGCTGCAAGCCGATTCCGGTCCTTCTCCTCGGCCTTGTCCTGTTTGGCAAGCGGTACACGGCGGAGCGGCTGGTGTGCGTGGTCATGCTCTGTGTCGGCATTGCGTTTTTATGCTCTCCGACGCCAAGACCCAGTCCAAGATGGAGGCCAAGGGCAAGATCGTCTCGACCTGGACCGGCTGGCTCCTCCTCGGCATGTCGCTCTTCCTCGACGGGCTCACCGGCAACATCCAAGAGCGCGTCCGCGCAGCTCACAAGTGCACCACCTTTCAACTCATGTTCTACACCAACGTCATGGCGCTGGTCTACATCTGCATGGGGCTGGCGGTGACCCAGGACGCCGACGACGCCGTCGCCTTTATCATCGAGCACCCAGACACTGTCATCGACCTGCTAATCTTCTCGACGGCCTCGGCACTCGGCCAGATCGCCATCTTCCTCGCCCTCACCTCCCTCGGCGCCCTCCTCCTCACCATCATCACCACCACCCGCAAGTTCTTCACCATCCTCCTCTCGCTCGTCTGGTTTGGCCACTCGCTTGCCTTTGGCCAGTGGATCGGCATTGCCGTCGTCTTCTCCGCCCTCGCCATTGACATTGCCGCCTCCAAGTTTGACTTTCGCATCACAGAGGTCCTCGGCCTCACCAAGCGCCGGATAAAGGCCGAGTAGTTGCGGCGCGGGGAGAAGGAGGAGAGGGGGAGGGGATGGGGTTGGTCGGTTTATCGGTCTCGAAGGTACCGCAGCCGCCATGAGCGAGCTGCCGATGCAAATCTGCATCTAATCTTGGGCCTCTGGTTGGGCGATGCCGCGGGCGCGGATGATGTCGTTGATGTCTGTGTCGCGGTGGGGTGGGCTGCGTGAGTGGGAGGGTGTGGGGGTGTGTGGGGGGGAGGAGGCGTAGCAAAGAGGGAGGCACAAGGTAGACATACTGGCAACGGGCTCAGGGCGGTTGGTAAAAGTCGAGTTGAGGGCGAGCGGGATGGCGATGCCTGTGTGCGTGAGGGTGAGGGTGAGTTGGCGAGGATGGGGAGGGGGGGGAGGCGGGACAGGGTGGAGGAGACGGACCGGGTGGCGGGGAAGGGAGAGACGGACAAAGGAGGGGAAGGGGGAGGGGAAGATGAGCATGGCTAGGGCACACACAGTGACAAGAGGGGGAGGGGAGGCAAGGCAGGCAGGGGGCGGGCGGGGAGGGAGGGAAGGGAGGGGGGGAGGGGGGGGGGAGGGGCCCAGCACGACGTACCCACAGCACCAAGGATGCAAGACCACATGACCACAGGCTCCTGCTGGAAGCCGACCTTCATAAAGTGCATAAAGCCTTGGGCACGCGCAGCCATGTTGTCCTTTGTATGTGTGTGAAGAGAGGCGATACCCCTCCTCCTCCCCTTGCCCTCCCCGCCGCCGGTCGGTGGCTGGCGACCTGCCAACCACGCCAGCAACCCCCCTCCCTC